CAGTTACCTTTGGTTCCTTTGGTCCATCACCCTGGATCCTAATAGGTCATCACCACCAAGGGCATTTTTCTGTAATGGAATTATTCACATATTAGTACTTGCACATAACTGTATGTAGTTTTAAACTTTTATATGTAACCCAAAACTGTCTGTACCGTAATTGTACACAATATCTTACAGAATCACTTTCAGGTTTACGTTTAGAACCCCTAGTATTCTGGCCCAATATGTAAAAATACTATTTTTTTTTCCTGGAGTTATCTGATATAAAGTATAATTGCATCTGAAGGGGAACCACCTCAATCTTAAAAGAACAATCATAAGTTTGTCTAAGTGCTAAGTCCATTTCCATGCACCTTAGCACCAGGAATGTGCTGATGCCCTAAATTCTGCACAGACTTTCAGACAGGCTTATGGTACCCAGCACAAAAAGTTACCTCAGCATGAGACCAATCTATTAGAAAAGAGAAGTCTATAAAAATAAAAAAGTTACAAATCAAATGTTCTTTCAGGGATAAAACTTTTGAAAATGCACCAAAAATACCATAATTCACTGTTAGGACAGTTTTGTTCTGCTGTTTCTGCTTGGAAAAACAATAAGCAACTTGAGTTGTGTGACAGACCCAAAGCAGGGCCAGGCCATGTTGAAGTGAGCTGTGCTCTATGTTGTTTGTTGCAAAACCTCATTGCAAAAATTCTTACTACTTCCATTCCTGAGTTCATATACCTGCTCAGCAATAACTCTTAAAATAAATCTCATCTGCTTCATAGTGTCTAAGTGCCAGATTTGGCCTCAGATTTAAAAAATACCAAGTTTGAGAATCATGGTTACAATGTCACACATTATTACATAAATGTGACTGCCAGTCAGAAATATGTTTAACAGTATAGTGCTTTGAGGGCAAAAAAAATGTTTCTAAAATTCTTCTATTTAGCACAATTGTTTAAAAGAAAATAGGATTTGAAAAAGCCTACAGAGACTGTAATAATAATGAATTCCATTCCTTTCATATTCCTTCTGTTTTAAGAAATTCTAAAAAATGAAGTTTCTGCCTAGAAAACACACAAACACATACATATCTTCATGATTTGCAAGGTCTAAGGGCAACAAATCGCATTGTGTATCAGATTCAATTAGCTGGATTCTGGGTTTGTCTAGTTTGAAGGAAAGGAGGCTGAAGAGCAACCTCACTGCTTTCCACTGCTTCCTGAGGAGAGGAAATGCAGAGGGAGGTGCTGAGCTCTTCTCTCTGGTATCCAGTGATAGGGTGCCTGGGAGCAGTTCAAAGCTGTGCCAGGGAAGGTTTAGACTGGACATTAGGAAGCACTTCTCTCCTGAGATGGTGGCCAAACACAGGAACAAACTCCCTAGAGAGGAGGTTGAGGCCCTAAAACTCTCAATGTTTAAGAGGCATTTGGACACTACACTAAAGAACATGCTTTAACTTTTGGCCAGACCTGAACTGGTCAGGCAGTTCAACTAGGTGATAGTTGTAGGTTTCTTCCAAATGAAATATTTTATTCTATTTTGTAAGAATTTTGTAAAATTCCTTTGTAACTGGAATGGGGAATGAAGAATGATTTACACAACTTCTTGACTATTTTTCTTGATATATATCCCATGGCTCTTTTTCTAGTTCTAATCTTCTAAAGGGGGGTATAGGAAAAAGATAGAGGCAATAGAAAGGAGGTAACAGTAAAAGAATGTAAGGAACAGGAAGGGGAAAGTTGCTGCCCTTACCAGCCAAAGTATGTAAACATGAGAAACCATAGGTGCAAAAGGGGGCAAATTTTACACATCCCTTATAGAAGCTCATCTTCAACCCTGAATCATTAAATATATTCTGGCAAAAGTTCCAGTGCGTCACAATAATATGTAATATAATGGAGGACTATTATTTTTAGTTTTGGATGCTAATACTTCAAAAAGCATTCAGGTAAAACCCAGCTTTTAAACTGATCAGTGCCAGAGACTAGAATTTCACTCCAAGAACCTTCTTTACAGGTACATATTTAACACAACATATACTTATTCTAAAACATTAAATACAGTACAGCTTAGAGAATCTCTCTTTAGGTGTATTACACACATTCAGTGTTTTAGAACTTTTATTTTACATTCATGAAATAAAAGAAACATCAATCCATATATCAGACTCCGAGTAGGCCTCAAACAACTTTGGGCTCAGCTGGCATACAGGACAACATCAAATTTGTCTTTTGGCACCCATAAAAATGTATAAATATTATTTTTAAGAGAGAATAAAATTCTTTGATAGGAAAGGCAATTCTTACCACTTCACAGTTCATTTAGTCTGAGTTGTATTTAGAGCCTAAAGATTTATAAAATAAGAAGGTAGAGCCAGAAAAAGTAAATACATATGGAAAGGCAAAATTCCAAATGTTTGAAAAACCACGATTTGTTCACGTAACAGCATAATGAACACTCCTGCAAAGTTCAATAAACATACAGATTTTTGAACCAGAATGACTCTTGGTTCAAACAGAAACTTTTCTGCTACTGAGGTCTTTGGAATCAAGAACTGGTCTTTCATCTTTGGCCACCTAAAGCCATCACAAGAAACTTGCTACCAATTCAGATTCTAAGGTTTGAGTAATGCACAGCTATAGCACTTCATGTACTGTGACCTTGTCTTACTACTGTCCTATAAAGTTTTCCTGTGACACTAATCAGGGACAGTGACAGTTCTTCGGACAACACATCCACCCATTTCCTATTTACAGGAATATAAGCTGTGCAGAAGCAACTTCTTTTTGCCAGTATTTTGCTAAGCTGTAGTCTGATTGTCATGTTAAGAAATATTAAAACTATCAAAATTGTATGGTGTAACTAAAAATACTGATTTTAGTCTGTAAAGCAAATTTCGTATGTAAACGGCAAGAGAGCTTTTTCTACCTCTGAGGTGTAAGCCAAGCATAGGAAATGCCGTGGTTTCATAACTAACGAGGCATTGACACAGAAACGCATGTGGTTTTGGCTACTACCGTAATTAGCAGCTTTTAATTACTAGTGTTAACTATTATTCACGCTGTTACTTGAAGAATATAAATTTTCATTGCCACCAACGCTCACCTGGCTGTGCCCGCGTTCCCACCGCAGAGTTCCCCTCGTCAAACACCTGGGGAAAAGTCACTTATTCCAGCCGCTCGCGAGCAGGGAAGGCGAGAGCCGTTCTGGATGGGTGGAGGCGGCAACTCGCGGGCGCCGGGGACCGGCTCCCCTCACCCAGAGACGCGCTCGGGCGGGACCGGAGAGTGGAGCTGCCCCTCCGCTCCCTACCCTCAGCCCCGGGAGGAAAACAGCCCCAGTGCCACCACAGCCACCTCCATACCCGACGGCGGAGCCTCACAACGACACAGGACAACTCCCGTCCGCCAGCGCCTCCGCTCCGCCCTCAGCGACGGCCTCGGTCACGTGGAGCCCAGACAGGGCGGGGCTCTACGGCTGTGGGGGAGAGTGGTGGTAGAGGCTTTCGGTTTCCATGTGAAGGCGGGCTTCTTTTCGGGAGCCACAGCGGCGGGGTGTCTGAAGGTGTAAGAAATCCCTCGTTAAAACTTCGCTTGAGGAGTTTGTGGGTTAAAGGTGGGCGCTCACGCGTTAAACTCCCCTTCGGGAAATTAGTTTGTGGCTAGAGTAGCAGAGGCGGGAACCGAAAGCGGGAGCGACGTGGAGCCCGCTCCACCTGTTGGAGGTTGTAGCCAAGTGGGGATCGGCCTCTTCTCCCAAGCAGTCAGCGAGTGGACGAGAGGGCACAGTCTTAAGCTACACTAGGGATGGCAGTCCCAGAATCAATTAGGTTGGAAAAGATCTCTGAGATCGAGTCTAACCTATGAGCAAACCACCACCATGTCAACTAGACCATGGCACTAAGTGCCACATCCATTTCCTTAAAAACCTCCAGGAACAGTTGTCCAACCTAATTGATTCTGTGATTCAAGTAATGAAATCTTAAATACTGTAAAAGCTGCTGTCTCTGACTCAGTTTCCAACTTTCCCCCTGGAAGCAACTAATAAACAGAGTGTTTATTCCTTCCTGCTTGTTTCTACCCTTTTTGCCGTCAGTTTGGGATGGAAGAGGCAAATCCCCTTGGTAAGGTGAAACATGAGGCAATGACAGTACCTGTCTCCTTGCTGCTGAGATGTAACGCTGCTGTGGCCAAGGTCTGTGATTCCCAAGAAAATGGGTATCTGAGTAACCCAATCTAGTGCTTCCAACTGAAAGGAATGTGGTTACAATTTAGCTACAGAGCCAGCACCTCTCTAGTCACAGGATTTGACAGCATGTGCATAATTCTCAGTCAGGCTACGCACTGCCAGTTCTCTCCTATGGCTGGGAGATGAGTAAGGAAACAAGTCAAGGATACTTTTTGTAGAGATGGGCATGAACTCATAATACTGAGAAGGGTAGGAGTAACAGGCCATAAAATGGTTGTAAACTGAGTACCACTGGTTCTTTTGCTTATTAGATAGATTGAGGCTATTCTTAAGGCTTCTACAGTTATTTCTAAGTAACATCAGCTGTTCATTGCAGTATCCTCTATTCTGACTGCTCTGCAAACATTCAGTGTGTTTAACAAGATGTGCTTGCAGTTTTCTGTGAAATCCCTTAGTTTGTCTGGTTTGCAATGACCGCAAAGAAAAGCTTTAGCTAATTGCTTCGTTTTCTTGTATCTCGAACATTCGTTAAAGGTTTTTCTAAATCTATTTTTCTCGTGTTACCAAATCTTCTAAGACCATGAGATGGAGGCTGTTTTGTTTATCTGTTCTCTTGATAAATATTTCTAGTGGGTTTGGAAGGTTTAGATGCTTGATTGAAAAGCCTTAAGCCTGATAAGACTTCAGAGTGATTTGTAGCCCTGCAGGTATAAAAACCTATGAGAAGCAGCCTTCATGTAACTTTTTATTTAGTGGTTTTACAAAGCTAATCTATTTCAGTTTTGATGTCAAAAATATTATTTTTTTGCTTTATACGAAAGCATATCTTTTTTTCCTGGGTAAGTATGGAATCTGAGATCTTCTTTGACAGAACTTTCTTTTCTCATTTATGTAGTATATGGAATTTAGAATTAAACACACATGGGATGGTTTACCTGTGAGCCATAACCTGGTTATGATTCCGCTGAGGCCAGACAATGCAGGACTGCTAATGGAAGTTCATGGTCCCTTCTGTAATGACCCTCAAGCACCACTTGGAGAGCCAGGGAAACCTTTTGATAGGCTGTGGGACTATGAGGGTAAATGTAACTGTTCTGCAAATAGATCTGATTTCTGTGGACACTGATGTTTCTCTGAAGTTAATATGCCTAGTCTTTATTTAACAGTCATTAATGGTTGTTTTTTCAAACTGATCTAACAGTTGTGTCTGTATGATATCTAATCCAGTTTCTTTGGTCACAGTACTACTTTTACAGGTCAGACCTAAAATGTAAAGTAAAAATTTTCCTTTCTGCTATATCCTGAGGAGTCTGTGAAAGAATACTGGGAAAGAATGCAGTTGTAATCATTGCCTTACCCTTAAACAGCTCCGCAAGTAACTATAAGCCTCCTGCTATATTCAGATGAAAACTACTCCAGATTGACTCAGGAGTGATGCTCTTTTTGTAGGTAGGGAATTGATTTTCATCACTGGCACTGCTAACCATGAGTTGTAGGTCTGTAGTAGTGCAACAATTCAGACAACTGGGAAAAGAAGTGAATGTATTGGGTCACTCATTGAGCTGAATTGACTTCAGTGATGTTCAGGTTGACTCTTCCTGATCTTGTCAATAGTATATGCACTCAAACTTAGTTTTTGGGTAACTGATATAACTTGTGGGCTATCAGAGGATTGACATATTTGAATATCAAAATAGTTTTGTGGCATATATCTATAAATTCCTTTGCAGGAACTAAGTAGAAGTGAAATCCTAAAGATAGATTCTACTTCTACTTTAAGAAGTAAAGTGTTTTAATTGCTTTTCCAAAGTTTCTTTGAGGAATAGGAAGGTGTAAAACACAGAAGTTGCAGCTCAAAAAATACAATCCAAAATTGTACCCAAATGTAATGGGGAAAATTCTATAGTAATGCTGGTTTTTTTCCTTTTCCTGTCACTTTTACTCATTGCTTTGAGTAATGCAAGAATTGAATGTTTCCAGAAGTTCTCTACTTCCTAATTATTGAGCTATTCTGATTAAAGCTCTACTGAAACAGTATTAGCACCTCTTTGATATTATTATAATAGGCTTATGTAAAAATAAATATATCAGTCATATTTAATCATAATTCTAACTAAAGGTTTCTAATAATTACAATTACCATTGTAATTTTATGTGAGAAACACCACTGTAGTTCTACTTTGTGTTCCTGAAATGTGATTCAACTGTAATAACTGAGGCCTGAAGTTGTGTCAGAGAAGGTTTGGATTAGATATTAGAAAAAGGTTCTTCACCCAGAGGGTGGTTGGGTGCTGGAACAGGCTCTCTAGGGAAGTCACAGCACCAAGCCTGGCAGAGTTCAAGAAGCATTTGGACAATACTCTTGGGCACATGGTGTGACTCTTGGGAACGGTCTGGTGCAGGGACAAGAGCTGGACTGAATAATCCTTGTGAATCCTTTCCAACTCATCATATTCTACGATTCTGTAATAGATGGCTTTCAGGTATACCTGGTCAGTAATCCTCTGTCCAAAATATCACCCATCTACAGGGAAAAACCATTTAAGAGCTAAATGTTTTCTCACTGTTTCTGAGATTTAGCAGTCATAGTTTTGGGGGGTGTGCTCTGCTGTAAGTGTCTGATGCTCTGAATCCTCGGGCTACCAGCAAACACAAGACTTATGCACTTAAGTGCTCTACCTGGAGTGCCTGCTTGAGAGTATGATTGAGTAGGATTACTCTGTCTTGGCCCGCTTTGTTCACAGCAAGCATACAGGATGAAATAACTGTATGCTTATGCATTTCTTACTCCAGGAAGAGCTAATCTTACTAGATTTGCCTTATTTTTCTCCTATATCAAGGTGAGTGTTTTCAAAGCTGGAGCTGGTAAAGTTAATAAAATTAGTACAGTACTTTATAACACATTTTGTGATAAGAGGCATGAAAAATAAAAGATCCTGAAGTTAGAATTATAGCACAGCATTTTGAATAGTTAGAAAACTGTCAGTAGCATGTACACAAGCAAGTCAAACTCTGGCATGAAAATCATGAAAACAATGGTTTTAATGAGATATGAAGATCTCAGGACATTACAAAGTAGTTAATATAAAATACTGACAGCCTGGTTTTGGGTTTTCTTTTAGTTATAGAAGCATTTTTCCAAGTGACAGAACTGAGCACTCTTTAGGAGTTGACCTTTGTCCGTAAGTATAGCACTCTGAAAAAGTCACAAATGTTAATTTACACTTCTAGTTCTAATGCTTGTAATATATATGTATGTGGGAGACTTGATACAGAAATTGTTTAAATATGGGGAATGTACATCTTTGTGGCAGTAATAACTTGGCACTGATAACTTGACATCGTTTTAAGAAAATTGTGGTTTTTTGACAGCCACGGGCAGCACTTACTACTGCTGCTTTCTGGCAAAAGAAAAGTATGGAAAGTAAGTAGTAAAGTACATTCACAATGTGCAGAAAAACTAACTACTTTTAGGTACCTGTTTTCTGATCGAAAGATGACATTACCTCTTTTTTTTCTCTCTTTTAACAGAAAGAACTTCCTTTAGAGTTTGAGGTGACCATAATGAAAACCAAATGGGAGGGTAAAGCTCATATTCCTTGTAATTACTTTCCACCATAAATGCACTAACAAGTTCAATGATTTGCAATTCCTGACTTGAAAGAAGAGAGGAAATACAAAGCACTTTATCTTGTGCCTCAACATGAACTACAGGAAGGACAGAAAGCAGATTTGTAAACATAAAATTAACTCTTTTAGTTGCACTATTGTTGGAATACTTAAAGAAAACCAATCTAGTTTTAGGACTGAGTGGCACTAGTATTTTAATTGTACTGCTTAGCTCTGGATCCATTGGTGCTGTATTTTGTATAAAGCACTGAGGCAGATAGCTGTAATCAGTGCTTGATTTCCATGTTATCCCCTAGGTGTATAGAAAACGATGCATTCAATACTATTGACATCTGCTTGATCACCTTCCTGAGCTAAATCATAGATAGGTTGTTCTACTTTTCCCTTGCCTCCAGCACCTCCTGAAGTACCATTTAGTGATAATTTCACCAGATATATTTCCTGTAAATCTCTTTTGCTACTCCCCTACTGTTCTAAACAACTTCACCTCTACAGATGGCTCCATACTGTAGAAAAATTTGAAAAGGCAGACTAAACCAAAAAGCATAATAAAAGGATACCCAGTATCATTAGAAAAACTAGAGAATCTTGATTTTTAAATTGTGCTTTGGGCTTGTTTATTTTCTTTGGCTGTGTGGCTGAGATGGTTGGTCTGATAAAACCTGTTACTTCTGGTCATTTTTTATAAATTAACTAGCTCTAGAGAACAGACTATATTTCTTATGCAACCTTGTCACACAACATACAATGACAAGTAAGGTAAATCATAGATAAATTACTCTTTGTTGCCTTTTTTAAAGAAAAACTTAGGTTCTGCAGCTATTTATTTTTAAAAATTCTAAGCTATTGCTAATAAAATACATTAGCAGTGTTCTGTGAGAAATAGATATTTTTATTTCTCTGTAATAATTTCAAGAAGGGATTCTTTTTACAGTATTGCTTTCAAAAAAAACCCTTGTATTTTTCAGACCTTATGCAAAGAGGCTGTTCCTTGCTTATTCTTAGTTTGTCTTTATTCATTATTCTTTATTCATTATTCTTAGTTTGTCTTTACTCTTACAAATTACCTCCTAATACGAGAGTTCCATTCACCTTTTTAAATGATTAATGTGGTGTCAGATGTTCTATTTACTGTTTGGTGGTTTTTTAATGTATTTATTAGCAATTGGCTTTGGTGCCTTCCTTCTATTGTTTCTGTATGATAGCCTAAAGAAAAAATTCTTAACAAGAAATGATTCATAGTATTTAAAAGAAAATGAGGTTTCTAGTCTTATGAAAAAAATATATTTACTAGCTTCATTATCCCATCCAGTCTTCCTTTCCTCTGTAAGTTGGTCAAGACTTGTAAATTTTGGCTCCACTGGAGTGCGGATATGTCATAAAGCAAGATGTCATTGCTCTTTCTCTGACAGCGGTTCCAGGCAGCATAAGCTGAGGGAGTTTAAAAGGTGAGCACTTTGTTAACTTCACTTTCTGCTGGGTGATACTTCTTCATAGCTGAGGATTTTGCCCCGTGCTTTACAGTACAAGGTTTTCAGAAACACAGTAGTGTTTTTTATTTATAAATTCAAATTTTGGAAAATGAACACATGAAATGCCGGTTACATTCCTGTCCAAGAAAACCATAAAATAAAGATGAATTGAGCATACTGAGAATACTGTCTTTTGTTAAAGACATGTTTACAAGACTTATGACTTTTTTTGTTTATTCCTACTCTCTTTGCAGTCATTGTCTGGAATTTTTCAAGGATTTAGACATGAAAGAAGTAATAGAAGAAGACTGGAAGCAGCTGTGATGGACTGAGATGTTATTAATGTCTTAAACATTGTCAAAATCATAGAAAGCCTTTTTGTCAAGCTGCAAGGAAGCAACTGCCTGTCAGCAACCACTGAAATCACCCCCTCTTCCTCAATATGCTTCTTGACTGGAATTTGGACTGTGAAGGGAAGCTTGAGATAAGACTATTGTCTAATCATCTCAGGTCTGAGGAGAAGTAAACAAGGCTCAGGAAATCTGACCTAGCTGAGCTCAGTGGGTGGCAGAAGAGAACGGTTTGGGGAGTGTGATGGCAAAATCTCTCCACACAAAACAGAGTAAACTGCCCCCCCCCCTCCAGGATGACCACGTACACATGGGGCATTCACATGAGAGGCAGCTGAGAAGGGTCATAAACAATCAAAGACCCCCAAGGTATCCCTCTCACCATGAAGAAGACCAGAAAAATGGGACCTATGGGATGCTGCCCGATTACATGATATATTTTCTATTTTTCTCTCTCTCACTCTCTTCTTGCCCTCGCCACCCTTTTTCTATTTCTTTCTATCTCTCTCTGTCTCAGATTTACTGTTAAATACACCATTCTGGGCAGAGTTTTTTAATATCAGATTAGTAAGGCTTTCCTTGACACCAAAGTCATCAATCAGTCTTAAAATCAACAGTAAAGTATGTGGCTCAGTTGATTCTAAATGAATGAACAGCTCATGTTTCAATTCATCTGGGTATGGAGTTTTTCATCTGTGCAAGAGATAAATCTATTGCTACCAATGACAGTGGAAAAATATGCTAAAATTACAGCTGTGTTTTCATGAGAACTCTAAAGCCTGATAAGGCCAATACCTGGCTTGAAATCTTTTGGGTTCTGGTAGTTGCTGAATTTCTGCTGTATTTTCACTGCTACTTTTTTGTTTCTTGACTGCTGAATGACATTCTTATGCGCCTAAATTTTCGATTAAAATCAGCAGAAAAAATGCCTCCTTCAGGAACAGAGAGAAATGTAGCTTTCATGGATTTTGGTGGCCCAGTACTTGCACTGCAAGTATAACACTACCCTTTCCTCTATGTTCCTATACTTGATGTTTTCCCTAGCCTGGTGCCAAAGTGAGAACTTCATCTGTATTACAGACATCTCGGCTTCAAATTCAGTGTGGAGTTTCTAGTGATACTTAGGTACAGAGGATAGATTTAGAAAAGGTTTTATGAATTTCAGGAAAAGTTTCTGGAACACATAATGTTCAGTATAAAATCTTTTGATAGACTTGAGTGCCTACAAATGATGGTTTGTCCTGTTGTAGCAGGATAGTCCACCCTGATAAGGCCTAGAATCTGATCAGAGAATGCATGCAATGCAAACCATCACTCAAGCTATCATGCAAGTTCAACTGCTGGTGCCAGGTGCTGTCTTGGTATTGAATTATGCTAAAACCAGCCTGGTTCACCAGATTCCGAATCCTGCTTTTCTGAAGCAGAATTTGACAGATAAGATAGTCTGCTTGCCTGTAATCTGTGACTACCAGAGTATATAGTTATATAGTCTGGCACAACTATAAAAACCCGGTCCACCTTTCATTTGGCAGATTCTTCCACACACTTCCTTGAAGTGTGGAGCTTCTCCCTGAAGCACAGATGCCTCCTTCTGGTTACTCCCTAGGGGTTAAAAGATCTATGTGCTATCTCATCTCTACCAATCTCTACTTAATGATTGTTTCTTTTGTTAGCTTTGATACAATTGGTTTAATATAATTGCTTTGTTACAGCTTTGTTACTTTATGTTATATGATACCCTAATAGGAGATTTTTAGCTTTTATATTGTGTAGTGTATAATTCTGATTATGATCTTTCTTCTGTTCACTTGTCTGTTCATTTGTGATAATATATAATTCATTTTATATAAATATATCCATTTTGCCATTATTAAAAACTTACAGGACAAACTGTTTTAATCACACCTCTATAATTCCTTAAATTTAAACTGTTGACACAGTCCAAGGCTAAGAGAGGTTTCAGGCACACCTCAACCTTTCTTCGAGAAGGACTTTAGAAAGCAAGAGAGTCCTTTTTGCACCTCGTGATCAGCAGCAGGGTTTTTTTTTTTAAATAAGTTTGTCTAAACCTTCCACTCTCCCTTGACATACATCACCTTAAGGATATAGCTAAGAAGTCTGAGAATTTTTTTGCATGCCACTTAGATTTGGAAATACTGTACATGTATGTAGCTATATTTTCTACATGTTGGCATGAATAATTTAAACACTAGTGAATACTGTTAGATGGTAATATCTTATCTGTAAACTCTCACAGGATTTACAAATTACATGTTCCTTTTATTTTGTCTAGCATAGCAAGTGCTGCTTAATTTTGGCTGCTGACTTAGTCCTATATAAATTAACTTAGAAAATGGGAAGCTTGCCCACTGAGCAGATTCTACATCTGAAACATAGGTGACTTTAAAATTAAACTACTTAGTTCAGTGAGAGGATTCAGACCAAGACATGTTCCTCGGATCTTTAATAGAAAGAGGACACCCTGCATCCTGTTGAAATGTCATCATCACATCTGGTCACATCATTTTGTCCTTTCTCTGTGCATATCCAAGAAGACTGACTTTGTTGAACTATTGTTCAGGTAGCTGAAGATAACTTTTAGCTCCCATAGATTTTTTTAAATGTTGTCATTCTCAGTTTGCCTTTTGTGAATCTCGTAAGTAAGCACCTTCTACTTAGATAATATTGACAGACAAAAGTGTAAATTGGGTTGTAATTTGGGTTGTAACTCAGAGGCTGAAATGCTTCCAGGCCTTTCTTGTTTATTTAGATCATAAGTGGTTCTAAAAATCTTCTGTGTAGCTTTAGATATCAAAATGCCTGTGAAGCTTTCCACAAGACTGGACTTTCTAAGTCATATTATTGAAAGTATTCTCTGTTTTCTTCTGAGCTTGTATGCAGTAATAACCACAGTCTGATGGTCATATTTTCTTTGCTGTCTTTCAGTTTAGCTGTAAGTGAGAAGAAAAGAAGATGGGAATATTCCGCTTTTGGGAAGAACATGTCAGTGTGATTAATATCTGAGATAGAATGTTAGTTGAGTGGTTTTGTTTGGCTATAGATTCCCTCTTTGTTCCTTCAGTTTTATAGAACTCTACTCTCAGATTTAAGGATATTACGTTTTTTCGCTTGCAGACTTTAGGATGTCAGTGCACACAGCCATCCAATTGCTTTTGCTCTCTTTCCGGTAGACAATAAAGATTCCTTGCTATAAAGTGCCATCTGTTGGAAATTCTAAGTATTGTACATTCAATTGTTTGGCTTCTTTTCTACCCTCAATCCAGGTACAGTTTTCTAAAGAAATACATCAATCTGAAATACTGAATAATCCAATAAAAGTTGAGTAAACTGAAGTAGCTGGATTCCTTATCCAGCTATTTCAAAGGAACCACAGATTCACAGCAGCATAGAGATCTTGATCCACCCCATCTCTCCTTTTTGCAACTTTTTAAAGAGGATAATTACTTCTGCAAAAATTCAACTGATCTCTCTCTCCCTTTCCTTACAAGATTGATTCCATGAAATCATTTAATGAGATGCAACTGTTAAGTGAAGCACAACTGACTAACTTAAAATTTAAGGACATCATCTACTATTAACGAAGTGTTTTAAAGCACATTTTACTGGCATGGCCACAGCTAAAATTTAGAACAGAGCTTTGCTAAGCTGTTCTGTGAACATGTAATCTTTTGTTGGATTGCTGCAGAAGAGTTATGTATAAACCTCCTCTGTGTGTTTAGATGTATAATATTCTCTTGTCAGTATATCTGGTTTTTACCTGTGGCAGGAAGCTTACAGCTTTTCTTGAAGCCTGCAGAAATAGCCAATGCTAAATGACACAGCTCCAGTGCAGTGTCTTTCAGTTCCAAGTCATATCCTCAGGTTGCCTTGGTTGAATTTACCCCAAGAAGATAACAGGTTAAATTTTATCCATGTATAGATAGATAGATATGGATATAAATCATCTATTCTGATGTGCGTACCTAGGACCTTGTTCTTTGGCTGCCCACTCAAGTTTTAAAAACATGACACTTCATCAGAGCCACCCACTTGTTTGCTGCAGTAGAAAGCAAAGACCAAATGAAATCTGAAAGTTTTGGCTCCTTGCCATTACAAATACTAAGATCAGCATGCAAGAACAACTAAGTAGATAAGACACCATGTGCCTCTCTCATGGCAACTTTAATATTCAGATATCAAAACAGCAGCAAAAATCACTGACAGGCAATCAGCAAAACCCAGAGCAGTGATGAAACCATTTTCCACTTTCATACTATGCCACTTAGAAATTAAGATCTGTTTCAAAGTTTTATAGGTGCTGGAAAAGTTGAAGACACAGCTGATGCCCTTCTAATGCTGCCTGTCTAGGCTACTTTCTGTAGCCTAGAAGATGAAGACAAATATTCCCTGATACCAAATTTCCAAAGAACATTCAAGATGAAAGTAGAAGCCTGGCAAAAAAAATCTCCAATTTTAGTACAGCAAGAAAATACAGTGACCTTGTGCGAGCTCTTCATTTCCATAATGGGGACTGCTGAAACACTGCAGTTATGCTGTCATAGGTTTACTTGTTCTAAAAATCCAAGCAGAAATTTTCCTTTCCCCTGTCCCACAGCGCCCCCTGCCGACCAACACTGAGCACTGCAGGCTCTGCTCCTCCAGTTATCCAACAGCACCCCCTGTTGGCCACCACAGAGCACTGCAGACTCTGCTCCTCCGGAGATCCAACAGCGCTCCTGCCAACCGTGATTAGAATTGCGCTGGAGGACAGAGAAGTATCAGACTGCTTCCTTTTTGAAGGGGACTTTTGGGTACAGGATTATTGCTTAGTTGTTTTTGTGCTCTGTAACTGTTTTTGCCAATGTATCCTTTAATAAAGGGTTGTTATTTCTTCCTTTTTCCATACTTCCTTGATTGGAGCCTCTTAATTTCGGATTTACAATTGCTGAGAGAGAAGAGTTTGGTCTACCTCATAACTCATCCCCCTTAGCAAAACACTGCAGTCTCTTTGAACTGAGACATATGCTTAAGTGGGCTGACTCACATGAAAACTGAAATGTAGACATATTTTCCAGCATAATACTACATCCTATGAAGGGCAGGCCCTCTCTCCAGAGATGCAGTATCCCATCATGTCTTACTGTAGGATACAAGTGTCACCAAGGCAAGACCATGACAGAATAGTTCACAGTTGTAAAAGTTGTTCTGCCTCCAATACCCAAATCTGACAGTCTTTTTTAAAAAACATATGAAGTTAATTTGCAAATAGAACATCACCATTTCTAATTCAAGAATATTGAGGCAAATGGGCAGTGGGGATTTTCAGAGTCTATATTTTAATTCTGGGTTGTGTTTCTTATAATCAAATTGTCCCAAACCCTTCTTCACAGAAGCAATGGTCAGGACACAGATCCAATCCTCTTCCTAAACCTTTAAACTGAAGGTGTTTAGAGACAGCTCCTTCTTCAGCAGTGTCAGTCAGTCAGTCACAGTTGTTTCCACTAACCATGGCTACACACGTCATAGCACAACAGCTTGCCTTTGGAAGGTACTACCAGCAAGGATAACTAGGGGTACAGAAAGAATTTAACATCCTATGTGCTTGTGTTTCTCTGGCAGAGCCCAATCATGTCTGCCACCTGTGAGGGGAGATTAAAAGGAGTAGTTCTGATATCAGATATCATCTGTCCTAACATGAGACAACATCAGTGAGGCTTCAGCAAAACTGTCCTAGTGTGAAGCCAGCAAAAGCACAGCTCTCTCTGATAGCTACCACCAACAGAATGCTGCTGTGTCTATCCTACACGTTGTCCTAATGCAAAGAAGTTTCCTAAGATGTACCCACAGCAACAAAATTTAGAAGCAGCAGAAATTGATGTTCCTGCTGGTCTCAGTGCTGGCCCAAGAAGAGGTTCTCCATTAAGAATCTTTTCAACCACTGTGAAAATAAAATCCTCTTTTAGGTGAATTATGACTGGGTGATAAAACCACACAGTCTCAGTAACCAATGAGGAGGAATAACTATTCCAAAACAAGCTAGGGAGGAAAATCAACCAGATAGTAAGAAAAACAGCACACATTTCTGCTGCAAAAGGGGAGACTGCCTGTAATCTTGCTAATATTAGTGCCTTCTTTGGTGCTGTTATTTAACATGTTTTTATGTGGGAGCACTTAAAAACCTCAGGCTTGAATGAGGTTGCCATTAAAATAAAAGTATGCTGCTCCCTCCTGTTATTAAACACTGCACAACTGTTGTTAAACACTTTAGAAAACATTGCTATGGAGACATTTCTTCCAAACAGTGTTTTTAGGTAAATTCAGATTGAGGGGTAAAAAAATATTCCATCAAAAACGCTTGTAAATATTAAATATTTTTTGACTGATTGCATTAAAGATGTGTACCAGGTGAACTGGCTTTGGTATTTCCTTTCTCTTCTGTACATGTCTTTTGTTATTAAAGAGTTTAACCAAAACCATATTCTATATCAGATATCCAAACCAGAATTTGTATACAAATGCAAAGGTCCAAACTCCCAAGGATGAATACATTGGTCAGCCTTTAAGCCATGTGCCCAGGTATGTTTGAGCAAGTTATTGCTTTCATGGAAAGCAATACAGAGCTATCTATGACATAACGGCTTCTTCCTTATTTTATTTTTAATATTATTTTATTTTTAACACTTTTGCACACAGCATTTTTTTATCTTTGAAGAGTTAATAGTCCTTATCAACTTTTAATGGCACAAGATCCAGTAGAATTTCTAAGGAGTTAATACTCTTCATTGATTTACCATTAAAATTAAATTAGAATATACCATTTTGAGTTTGATCTACAAGCTCCATGCATAACTGAATCTTAGTCTAAAGCAACCATTATTCAGCTAGCATTCCTCTCCTCATCTCCACTATAGAGACTGTAATGAGGATTACTTGAGATTAATGTATTCCTGCTCTGCTTTTGATTAATATCATTTTAACTGAATCTTGTTAACAATTAAAAAGGAAAAAATCTTTGAGGAGCAAGGCCTTTGATATTTGAAGTCTGTCAAGCTGTTGTGCCACCTACTGTTGTGCTACATCCTTTCCACCCTAGTTTAACATTTCGTGACTTGCACTCCACAGAGAAGAGATTGTTGCTGGACTGCATTAAGTTCAACAAGCAAGTACCATTCTTTAAGTGTTAAAGGCACAGAGAGAGGTGCACGAGGTGAAAACAGAAGCACTGGTGGAAAGGTCAAATGACAGAGAACATTTGCAGGGACTACAGAGCAAGAAAGGTATTACTTACTCTGTCAAGCAGACACTGCTTACAGAAGTTTATTTTGTTTCAACATCATTATAGTTGCTTGTTACAACTGTGAATTGTCAGATAAAGTGATTTAAACAATAAAACTTTGTCTCCTATTTAACATTTATCAGTTAATTCCAGATTTCAACCTTTTAATCAAGGCTAAGTGCATAAATCTGCTTCAATTTTCTTCTAGGAGGAAGTGATTTATAGGATAATTCAGATTGGAGATCTCTAGTCCAAACTCCTACTGAGACCATGATCAGCCATAGGGTCAGACCAGGTGGCTCAGGGCTTTCTTTATTTTGATCTGAAGACTGCACAAGTGCTCTGGGCAACTGCTCCAACAACTCTTTGTCCTCCTGGGGAAAAAGTTTCTCCTTATATCCTCTCTGAACTTCTTGTTTCAAGTAGAATCCATTGCCTCTCCTGTCTCCACCAGGCACCGCCGCGAAGCCTGGCTCCATCTTTTCTATAGTCTCTGTAGGGAGCATGTTTAAGGTACAGGGGATGTGTTAGGGCAAGAGTGCCCGAGGGAGCATGCTCCGACATAGAAAACTTAATTGGTCAAAGAAGTCACGTGGGTTGAAGGGAAAAAACCAGCACCGAATTTGAAATAAATTCTCTTTTTTCACCACCTCACAAAGAGCGTGCTTCCTTCTTTACCATGTAAAGTACCGTCAAGCTACAGTCTCCATATAGGTAGGAGACCATATGGAGATATATGGGCTGCCACTCTATGGTCCCCAAAATCATCCCTCCCTATGCTTCACAAGTCCAACAGGAGAATTACTCCAGACGCTTTAGTGGCTGTCTGCTGAACTCATTCCAGTAGCTGAGTTATATTGTTATACTGCTGCACAAAGCTGTGAATAAAGTATATCAAGTCGAGAGACACACTTGAGTTTAGACAGATTGGAAGCACTACAGGGATTTGACAGACAAAAAAAAATCAAATCAAATTACAAGGAAAATTTCAATCCCCTGCACTTGTTCTATGCAAATGGCTTAACGTGTTTAATGATCAGATCCCAGAGATGATATACGGTGATGTATTTCTCACTGTCAGTCCTACAGCTACTTCATGTGAGGTGAACAGATAGTAGGAAGGAGGGAAGATACAAAGGGAAGGGAGAAAGCAAGTGCTATCAGTCACATGCACTGTGGCTCAGGGATGAATCTGATGCTGATTCATGACTGGACTAGTGCAGTGTTATTGATTTCAGTGACCCAACCCAGTGCTCTTGTGGGCTCTGAATGTTATGCTCCATATTCCTTCTATTCTCTGAAATAAAGCTCTCAGCCATTAATATTTCTTAGAAAGACTTGTAATCCCTCAGCAAAACTAGAAAAAATTCTGCAAAGTTGTTGTAGTCTCAGAACCACACACAGCAGTGGGCAATAAATATTTTTCCCCCCAACAATTTTGTCAGAAAAGTCCTGAAGATGGATGTCTTTACCAGAAGATTGTTCCACCTGCCATAAAAATGTGGACATGGAGAGACGTCCCAGAAGTAAAAACGAGCACACTGTTTTTACTTGGGCCAGTCAAACATTAGTCTGATATTAAAACCTTGAGTATGCTGAATTTTTGCAAATAAATAAAAGCCATTTGATAAAGTTTCTTTGGGTGTGACCAGATATAACCAGAAATGAAATTTATTCTAAATCCTAAAAAATTGGTAGTTGGTTCAATACAAGTGTTTTGCCTAACCATAAAAGCTCAGACTTTGATATGAAGAGTGCTGGAAAAGGTGAAACAGAGGGGAGATAAGTATAAGGATTCTTAGCCTCCAATCACTTATCAGAAGCCCTCTTGGAATAAAAGTAAATTTTTCTCAAATGTGACCATTCCATATTCACAACAACTACCTAAAGTATGCTCTAAATACTTGTGCTAGTTAGGACAGCTGAGATCAGTTCATCATGGTATGGGTGTAACCCAAAACTGTGTATTCTATAGCCTTCCATGCCGTTTCCCAGAAACTGTTGTGAATAGACTATTCGCACCCTCTGCCCATAGAGCCTGACTCCTCAGGCTATAAACTAGGTGTTAAGAGGCCTGTGAGATAGGAGGATGCTCTTGTCCTCACACCCTTTGTGGAACTCCCCGCCCTGAGGGAAGTACTGAACAATCCTGCCTGAACTGGAGGGTATATAATCTTGGAGTCTCGGAACATTTTTAACCACTCTGTGGGATCCAGAGAAAGACTGCAGCTCATCGCTCTCAACCAGATTTAGACCACCCTCAACTGGACTGCAATCACCACTTTTGACCAGACTGCAACAGCTCTTCCCCAAGCATCTCACTGCAATCACCACTTTTGACCAGACTGCAACAACTCTCCCACCAGCAGGTTCATCCCCTCTCCCTTTACTTTGGACTCAAGCGGGGCCCAAGGAACACCACTTTGTTCATGCCCCAGGGTACTGGGTAATACATTTGGGTTTTGTGGGTTAAGACCAATTTTTTGTTTGTATTACTGTACTTACTGTATTATTGTAGTAAATTGTTATTCTGATTTATAATCTCTCCTTTGAGTTGAGTTCATTTCCCCTGTTGGTTAAACCAGCACAATACTATAGGAACATAACAGCTTCACACAAGCAATCTAGA